CGTTGGAGGTCCATTGATTGGTGGTACCCTATCCTCCATACTACTTCCTGTGAAAATCTTTCACTTCATATAACATCACAATTTTAATATTTTCTGAGGACAGTTTTTTTAAACCTGTCATAATTACAGCTTTTATCCTGGAATTATTTAAAATTGAACTGAGAAACATTGTTAAAGTTTTATTGTAACATAAATAAATAAGGAAAAACAAAAAAAAATCAATGGAATCAACAAAAGAATCAAAATAAATAGGTGATGCAATTTATATGTTCTCTCTCTATACATATTCAATGTGGCTCATATATTTATATGATAAATAGAATTCTTCACAATTCAATGTCTTTAGTGTAAATATTTTTCAATTCAAAGATACGTTAATTGAAGAACAGGTGAAAGTCTTTTTCTTTGTAATAAAAACAACGCGTGGGTACAATTTACTGTTTCAATCTGTCGTTTTTGTGGATGTAATGAATGTACTCTCTGAACGCTATTATAAGTGTCCTTAGCTGTGACAAATTGTAATATTTCTCAATAAAGTGTTTCAAAGTTGATGTACGATATTTTAAAGTGTCAACATAGATCCAGAACACTTCAAACTACTCTTGTTAGCATTGTTATTCAAAAATCACAAAAGGTGATGATACAAGAAATAGCGTCTAAACTTCAAACTGCAGAACCCGGTACCAATTCATGTGACTTAGCCGTTCAAGATTAGCTCCATTTAAAAACTCTGTTCTTTCTAAAGAGAAAATTTCATGTTTCTTAGAACGATTCGAAAACTACTATACCATGAAAAGAGTCACAGATAAGTCTTTCATAGCTCAACTTCTCTGTGTTAGCATAGGTTCAATCCATTATAAGTTAGCAGTATTTCAATGCCCATGACCCCTTATAGCCCTGGAGCCAGGGCCCAAAAATCTACCTGATCGCAGGCGAAGGTTTGATTGTAAATTACGAAAGTGTATGTTATTCTCAGTAAAAAGAAACTTGTCTGCCGTTCCGGAGCCGCTGCTTTCAAAAATGGCCGCTGATTTAAAGAATATTAGGCCAATAATTTGAGGATCGAAATGGGAAATCCATTGCGAAAAATGTAAGGGAAGTTTTTATTTGTTTAACTTTTATATATGGGTTTAGATATGTAAAAAACAAAATTGCTAAAGCGGGCCACCAAGAGAAAACTTTTTACAGCCAAAAAAGTCAGATTTTTTCGATATTTTTTGGGTTTTTCATCTATAACTCCTAAACAATGCATCAAAGCGAAAAATGTATTCTTTAATAAATTAAAGAACATTAAATTTTGCTTCAAAAGAATACATAAACTTTAAAATTTGGTTACGTAGTAAGGTATAAAACCACGGTCAACCAACATTGAGCTTTACCAAATTTGTCAAAAACTGAGACAAATTACTATCAATAGCCCTGTAAGTTGGGAATGAGTTCTCTAAGAGGAAAAACCCACAGAATCAAAGTTGTAGAGCATCAAATTTCACGTATGTTAATTAATTATGTTGAGTATACTTCAGTTAAAATATATTAAAAATAAAGAATATTTGTTTACATTTATTACGTTTACCAAGAAATAAGATAATCTCTAATGAACAAACACAATTAGAGTATCATAATTAAAACAAAGTAAGTAAATATCTAATTGAAATATCTTTATACATTTTTGAGCAAAATATTTTAAAGTTAAAAGGTATTGATAAAAATAACCTCTATGCAATTTTCATTCCTCCGTCTTCTCATCCTACTTCGCTTGGTATCAGGCTGGTAGGAGGTGACAAGGGGCCAAGCAAGTCGATTTCAGTGAGCTGCTGTGCTGTTCTGACCTTCTGCTTACAGGAAGATTCTGTACGCGAACCCTTAGACTAGATTCTAAAGAAAAATTTCTTTTATTATTCATTATAAAGAACCCAACTTGGAATCGTTCCTGCGAATTCCTGTTAACCTGTTAATCTTATTGATCAAATACAATCATGGGCATCGAACCGTTTTTCCTTTGTGACCGATATCATTGTAACAGGAGGCGACAAGTCCAGTGTAGCCTGTAGGCCAGAAACACCTACCGTATCATGGTCTCCTTATACCATAACGTTCTGGCCTTACTGACTAGTAAAAGTAAAGAATTTGAAGTTTATTAAGAAAAAGTTTTGTTCGTAAATAAATTATTTTATTTTAAATAAATGCTGCTTGTATATTAAATTATCATTTATTTTCAATAATAAAAAAACATTCAATTTATTTCTAGTTCACATTGAAATTAGCCAGTAAAAAAATATGTGCTCTTTCTTATTGAATACTGACATTCGGTGTCAATAATAATCAAATTGGTGAAGTATCAATTATTATAGTTTTACTAGTAAAATAAGCATAAATTTTGTTGTGTTTATATTACAGATTTTTATTTATTTTTTTTGTCTATCTTTCGTAATTCTTGTTGTAATTTATAGGAAAAATCTTACGTTTCTTACGTTTTTCATTGAATATGAAGGAATTGCTTAAAAAATGTTCAAAATAATTAAATTCTAAGTACACCACTGTAAAGTAGAGAACATTTTCTTTGAAAAAACAGTGATTGAGAAAATTTGCTAAGGTCAATGATAAAAGGAACTTTCAGGAGATCTAATAACGCAAAGAGAGGTTTAAACCTTTACGATAATTATTGAATATCCCTCACCAATTACTGTTAGGAAATAATAATGGTGGAAGGATAGGAAAGTCAAACTACACATAGTTCATTGATAGAAAGGGAGATATTACGTGTAGATCAATATTTATGTTTACAAAAGTACATCTTACTTATGATCTTTGTTCAATATTCATATCTAGCATCAAAAGAATGAATTTATTTTAATAACTGTTTTCTCATTGAAAATTTTGTCTACTTTACGATGGATGTACATAGAATTTAATTATCTTGAACAGTTTTTGATCAATTCCTGCTTATTCAATAAAAAAGGTGACCACCTTAAGAAAAACACAAAATTGGTCTTAACTCCTCGGACCATGCATTAAATGAACTTTTTTGACGATAATTGTTTCTAGAATCGCCATCTAGAGTTTGGCCATTAAGAACTGAGACTCTCATATGTACAAAATTATCTCTTCAACAATATATCTTTTTTTTGGTTTAGATTTTAAACAAAATTCAATTGTGCATATATATATAATATATATATTACACAAAAATAAAAATAAAACAATACCATTATATAATTAATATTTAACTTCAAAAGCTAGATATGTTTTTGAATTTCAAAAATTATATAATGTACACAGTACCGGCCTTCTCAGACGCGGCAACCGGGGAAATTGCGCCGACCTAGGCCGCCGTGAAATGAAAAAAAATCGACCCAGCTGCGAATCGAACCCAAAACGTTCAGATCCGGGCTCTCTACAAGCTGCGCGGTCATCTCGTCCTCATATACAGATATTTATATGGCAGTTAATAAAATTAATTTTCAAATTCTCATTTAGAACACAAACTTTTCACTTCCTACATTTAATCAGTTCCTATACTTGACATGATATCGGTATCGATTAACAAATTTTAAATATATCTCCGCTACTATCAATCATTGACAAGATAGATCTATAGGAAGTAGAAAAGTGCAATCTGCCTACTGATATACTTACTCAATTTTTTTTTTTTTACTATCAGAAGTCAAATATTTATTGGGTTTATTCAAATGTTTACAATATTTTAAATCGTGATAAACAGTTTTGTTTTAATTTATGTAAAAAAAAAAAGTCTATGACCGAATATTGTAACATTATTGCTCTAACTCATCAATCGGTATATATAATATATCAGGTATTTTATGTTGATTAATAAGTGTTTCGTGCGAAATTGTTATTTCATGCAATATAAGTATTTCACGTAAAATAAATATTGTAAAAATATTCGCGGTAGATACCAATAGATTGTTTAAAATCCATGTCTTATAGTTTGTGTTGTAAACGTTACATTGTTCAGATATTGAATAATTTATTACCTATTTCATAACGACATATTATAATAAAATATAAATATATAAAGTTACATGTATGTAATAATATGTTGTTTTTTTAACTTAGCTATAAAACTCGTAATATGTTCATAATTTGTTCAGTATAGACAATCATATGTTATTTAGTCAAAAAATCGGTCGTAGTAACTCAAATATGCTAGTAAAAAAAATTAAATAAATAATAAGTAATAGTAGTCACTCTAAATTCAACGTTCCCTCGTGTCAAATCCTCAATAATTTCCGGGGTGGCAAGTTGGGACAAGGTCCGAAAACTGTTTTTAGAAGTTCAAAGCTTTGTTGACAATAGGATCTATTTCGGCCGATTTGCGAAATGTACCAAAATTGTTTTCAATTGTTTAAAACGTCATAACAACTATCTATATTTTTAAAAACCGATTTAGATTCAGAAGTACGTAATTCTGCACAACACATACCATCAGATTTGAACCAAATATACCGGTAAACCAGCTCTGAATATAAAAATATGGTTTTCGTTCCTTCTCCTATTATCTCACATCAGGGCATTATTAATGCGATAATTTATATATAATTATATATATATATATATATATATATATTATATATATATATATATATATATATATATAATTATAAAGTTAAAAATTGCTGGGCATGAAGGGAAAACGATATTAGTTTGTCACTAATCCTGACAAGTTTCCAAATTTTAACTTTTGTTTTTTATCTTAATGCCTAACAGCACCAATGTGCGACTTCGCACAATGGCAAATTTGAGCTAAAAAGCTGGCCAAAAATGTTTCTAAATGGGAAAATTCGAAACATCTTTGTCTCTAAAATAGTTAAATTATTAACCTATTATGACATACATCTGTAATTTGAATAACTGCAAGTGATTCACGATCAACATCCGAAAGTTGATGATCTCATCAAAATCAGATTTATTTTGCGCAAACTATATTTTAGTGTTGTTTGTTAGGACTGTGTGCGATTGGTAAAATTTTGAATCATTCAATGTTTAGAACAGAATGGTGGACTCTTGGACAAAGAGGTAAGAGGTTCAACCTGGACAAACTGAAGGTCTCTGATACCAGGACACAGTATATGGAACAGCTGGATAAAGACCTCCGCGCTCAAAGAACTAATGGTGACACTAACTTTAGATGGAAAGTCTGTGCTCAGGCAAGGAGAAGAATGAAGAAAAGATCTTAGAGTGAAAAGACAGAGAAATCCGATCCCGCTGTTTTGACGAGGAATACGAAGCTGCTACGAACCAGAAGAACCAAGCATACAAGGCCATAGCCAATAAAGCTACAAGGAGAAACGTTGATAAATATCAATTGAGGAGACTCGAGGGGAAAAGGCTGCATCGCAGAAGGAAAAGAAAGTGGGAGCTAGAGGAACTGGAGAAGTCGGATACATTTTTCGGAGATAAGGAATTCCGAGATTTTTATAGGAAAATAAACAGGAGCCGAAAACCCTACTCTAATATCTCTTACATCTGCAACGACCATGAGAGGAATCTGCTTTTCAACAAGCAGAGAGCCCTGTCCCAGTGGAGGCGTCACTTCAATGATCTCAATGAGCGATCCTTGGAACAGGATGAGGAATTAGGGAGAGAAGATGAGGACCACAGGGTGAAAGAAACAGATGAATAACCACTTTTAGAAGATGAGATCCTCGATGCCATGAACCGATTAAAATGTAACAAGGCTCCGGGTGCTGATGTACTCTCCACAGAACTCATCAAGTGCGGTGGAAACGAACTGATGAAGGATATGCAGGATCTCCTCATCACCGTTTGGACAGATGAAGTTTTACCGGACCCATGGACCAAGTCACTGCAATTGTCTCATCTTTAAGCTTTTTCTATGTTTATCGAAGTAGATTCATCAAGAAAACTATTGGAAAGCTATTTATAACAGACCGGTAGATTGCCGCTGAAATTACCGGTCTAAACGTTCGGATCATTTACTTATGTTTGAAAGTTATATCAGAAGCAATGGGATCTAGAAAATGAACACCGACAAGCTAATTACATTTGCTATGGACACAGCAAAACTACAATATATCTTAAAACAGTATCCGTGTCACCAATATTGCACAAGATTCTGATTCATGGAAAAGTGCTCATTCATTTTATCATAATTATTTAATTTTATCATAAAGTAAAAGCCTATCCTTTAATTAAAATAAAAATGCTGTTTTTTGTTTTTTTTAACTTAAAAGCTGTCATTAAAAGAGTCACGCATTTTTATTTCAAAATTTATGTAAATATTTAATAATTATTTAGGTATTATCTTTATAATATGCAATTTGTCCCTAACAACTAGTTCTATACTTATATTACTTCATAAGTTAATGAATCTTTGGTAACAATTTTGGTCAGATTTAGGTTAAAGTATGTTCTATAAATAACACTTCAGTTGGGAAATGAGCTCTTTAAGAGAAAAAAAAAACATGAAATAAATATTGTAGTAATCTATTGAGTAAGTAATTTGCTAAATATTATATTTGTTTAATAGTTTTTAAAATATTATCTTGTAATGAAAGAATCTTTCGCTGGCCGAATAAGAAGTTCTTACGGGCCGTAGTTTGGAGACCCCTACTCTAGAATGTTAAAGTTTACGCTTTAACAAGCTCCGCCATCTCTAAATCAAAAATTATTGACACAGCCAGGACTTTCTGGTTTTGTTAGAAAACTGTCATAAGTACAAAGAATGTGAACACCATACTCCTCTTTGTATCAATGGTCCTGAAATATGAAGGCATTGGCGGATCTAGAGGGATGGCGCTCTGCTTAAAAAAAAACTTTAAAACTTTAGAAAAAAAACTGAAACTTATTCTTTGGAGCAAACTATGTTCTGGGTTCTTTGATCGATTTTATTAGTTCACAAACTGTTAGTCAAAATACAGAGAAATTCAGTGTTATTCCTACCTCGGCTCTTTGATGAAATAGGAAGGCTACCGTGGATAGTACCAATCGATTATACCTACACAAATATATGGCAAAACGCACCACACATGTCCTGGGCCAACCCTCCTATTTGTGGGTCAATGGGTCAACAGTGAATTTTATGTGAAAGTTGAGCGGGGTATAGTAAAATGTATATTTTACGTTTTGAGGCAATTGAGATTGTTGTAGTAATTTTAATAATTAAAATTAATTTTGTTGTAAACCCAAACTAAGTGAAATAGGTTTAAAAAATAAGTTTAGATAGGTACTCCTGCTATATTTCAAATATAAAAACATTCACATAAATTCCTCTTCTTTTATAGAATTAATTATGAAATAAAATAATACATATATAACACGTACTTTTTTAATTGGAAAAAGCAATATTCATAAAATTGAATACAGTGCGACTGATTTGGTTAATGGATGAAAGGGTGGGGGGACAGGAATTACTAACGGATCCAGGATTTAATTTTGGTGGGCTTCAGTCCGAAGCTTTACATATATATTAAGATAGTTACTTTGGAAGAAATAAAGAAACTAAGTACCTATACAAAATAGTGAAATAGTTCAGTCCGATAGATCCACCTGTGGCAGGAATAGAGTCGAAAAGAGGAGTTAAGACGGCTTTTAGTTAACGCCTAATTAAAGATATGCAGTAGCAGATCCTGAATATAGTTTTGGGGGCTTGTTTTTTGTTTTTATTTAAGTATTTATTTTTTATTAACGATTTTTGTTCGGAAAGAAAAATAAAGCAACTATATAAAATAATATTAATGTGATCCTTGAATGTCTTTCCCAAAAAAAAGGTATATTTTTCATTTGACACGTGCTTACATTTAGTAGCTGATATATGTGTTTAAGTATTTAGCTCAGATCACTCACTGAAAAAAATATGGTCCATTAAAAAATTATTTATTATTCTGTTTTAAGAGGGATGGCCGAAAGGAGCCTGTTACCTATAAGCGTGTTTCACTAGCGGATCCAGAATTTAATTTTGGGGGGGCTTCAGCCCGGAAGCTTTTTTTTTCATATATATAACGATAATTACTTTGGAAAAACAGAAAGATACTAACTACCTATATGAAATGGTGTTTAAGTGATTCTTGAAGTCCTATTAAATGTAATTAAACAAGCAATAATACTTAAAGACATAATTTTTTAATATTTTTACCATAAAATATGGTTACATTTTATCATTTTGGGAGCCCCTCCCCCTTCCCCTGTAGATCCGCCTGTGGCATGTTTCTATGGAGATATTACTATAATTCTTCAGATAGGTGAAACCTAACTAAGCCCAAATTCAAAATTGGAAGAGCTAAATGCAAAAGTATATTGGTCATACCATTTCTTTACAAACTAAAATTGTCAAGTATTAGTAGCTATTAGGCCTTAATTTTTATTAACAAAAACAATTTTTTTGGTACCAGTCTTGGTTTTGGTCTTGCAACAGTTAGGCGGTGTCTTGGCAAACTGCATGAAAAAGACCGACTTCCTTCAATAACATATAGGCACCCATTTTAGCGGCTGGATTAATGTCAAAACGATATATATAATTTTTTTTTTTAGTTTCGTTCGAAATTTGCGGACCCCCCAAAATTTGCGCTCCCACAGCAAGTACCACCTTTGCCCCTCCACGAGAAGTTCCGGCTGTTCTCCAAGTTAATAAGGATCATGTTTAGTAAGTTAGGCTAATCGCAACGCAGCCATTGTGAATCATTACATTCATTATTAACATATAGAATTAGCCATTGATTCCAGATTGTTGCTGGGTATGGAAAAGAGTGATTGGCTAATTATTTTATTTTATTTTTTTAAACAATTTTAGACAGCAAGGTGGAATTTGCACGTTTTAAAGGCTATTAATTGTAGAACTTTTCTCTTAATTCTAATCGCTCCTGGCCCCGGCGGATCTACGGGGGGAGGGGGGGTCTTTCGGACTGAAGCCTCCCCCAAAATGGAAAAATATAACCATGTTTTATAGAAAAAAAATTCAAAAATACCTCTTAAAGTATTATTGTTCGTGTAATTACATTTAAAAGGATTTATGAAATCATTTACACAACATTTCATATAGGTAGTTAGTTACCTCCTGTTTTTCCAAAGTAATTATCGTAATTTTTATGAAAAAAAAAGTTTCGGGCTGAAGCTCCCCTCCCCAAAATTAAATACTGGATCCGCTAGTGGCTCCTGGATAAGGCATAAGAGAAAATAATCCATGATATCTGTTATTTACATTCCAATACATCTTTAAGCATTATGTTTCCAGCCGAAAAATATCTGATGGTCTCAAGTGGGTAGAAATTTCTTGCTCCTTCGAATGGTATAAGTTGATTTTGTGAAAGATCACTTTTGGTAGAGATAACCATATTTAAACTCCTTATTTTAATGCGTTAAATTCGAGAATTAACAGTTAAAAATCGGATAATGGTAAACAGGAACTTTTTTGTCGCTATCAGGGTATAGATTCGGCCAATCGCCAAAATATATACAAGAATATATACGAAATATAAGTTTCCTGGAATATATACCATCCTCTTCCTTCCCACTACATTTGGGTACGTACCACCAGCCGACCCACAGTGAGGCCCACAATTAGAAAAATTAAATTTTTTAAAATGATCTTTTATTGATTTTTAGATTGGCAGATCCAAAACAGGCAGCGATATGAATATTGACATATTACTGCACCAGATCGCCCAAAAATCGGCTTTCTGTTATTGTCTTTCAGAGTGTTTATTTCTGCAGTAGTTTTAAGTGCCCCTCTAGCACTGAGTTTTGTGATTTTTTCACCAAACTAATATAGATATTACCTCATATTAGAAGTAACTAAATTTCGTATTATATCAATTTTTACCTATCATAAATATTGTTTGGAAGTTTTGATAAAGTTGTTAAAATTAACGCATCTAAATTAACTTTTAAAGATCACATAAAAAGTACGCCACACATTCCCACAAATCTTTTTACATTTTTTAATTCAGTATTTATCTGAATATCTGGTTAGTTTCTCAACAAGTTATTTCATGTTATTATTTTCTGTTATTGAATTTACTAAATGTATTTTAGATCTTAACACAGTTGTAAATATCATAAATAAATAAAAAATATTTTTTAGAATGTTGGGGTATGGCTGTTTTTTTCCTTAACTTCACTGGGCTATCTTTTTTGATTCTATCTATCTTCCTAAATGATTTAATTAATTTATATTTATACAAGTCTTAATAGTGATTCACTTAATTAGTGATAAGAGTAAAATCTTATCAGGGATGAGTAATAAAACAAGATGGCGTCAGTCATTTGATTCTACTTTACTTGTTCTATTTTACAAATGTAAGTTAACATTCATTAGTAGACAAATCAATAGAGTGCTACCATTGGGTAGTTTCTCAACAAGTGTTTTCACGTCATTATATCCATATGTTAAAATTTACTTTTTTTTATTTTTTTATTTCTTTATTGAGTATTATAACAATCTGTCTGTTGGACATTGGTTATAGTGAGGTAGGATGACATTCACACTATATGTACAAAAAAATAAAATAAATAGAACAAAATAATAATCAAAAGTATATACAATAGACAATAAAATAAAATAACCTAAAAAATAAGAAAATTAAAACTAAGAAAAAAAAAAAAACACATGCATACCTATATACAATCAGGCGAGGGAACTCCAGGAGAACCCTGCGCTACTCTCCCAACCGCGTCACTGGTACTAAAGCCAGCGGAGATTGGTCGAGAGCACTTTAGCCACATACACTCATGTCTTGAGTGAAGAATCTGGCCATTGCCAGAACTCCAATTTATACAATCTACAAAAGGTCGCGAGGCCACTGCCGTTTCAACCTTCTTGGAGGATTATAGGGATGGGAGGTGCTTGATAGGGATTGTGCAAGAGGATTTGGGTGGTACGTAAGGTTCTGGTGAAATTTGGAGAATTTTTCTGGGATAAGGTCTAGGACAAATGGGATGTTGAGGTCATGATGTAACGTTTTGTTGGTTACATAGAAAGGAGCATCGACTATTGTTCGAAGGACTTTTGATTCGAAGGATTGGATGTGCTTGATGTTAGAAAATTTTGCTGATCCCCACAGTTCTAGTCCGTAAGTCCAAATAGGTTTCAGTATTGTCTTGTAGATCAGTAGCTTGTTTTCAATGGTAAGTTTAGATTTTCTGCTTAATAGTCGGTATAGTTTGCCGTATCGTCGGTTTAAAATTTACTAAATGTATTTCTTTAATACAGTTGTAAATATCACTAAGAAATAAAAAACATAAAAAAATGTTTCATCATAAATTATACTTATTTATTCATTAATTAAGACCGTACATTTTTTATTTGTGATGAATACGTGATTTACAATCGAAAAGCATGTTTAATGAAAACTGTCCTACTTGCCTATTGGCTCCACTCACTGTGCGTGGTAGGTAATAGTTTATTCTGTTATATCAGTTGTGGATCGACCTTAGGATCAGGAGAACCTCCTGGGGCACATCCAGCCTCTATAACATGGTTACTCTCAATTTAATAATTAATTTAAGGAGTAAAACGTCTCAGTCCAGCGTGATCTCGGTCCAACTACCACCTCACCCAACCGTTGTATGGTATAGCCGATGACGAATCTAGTGGGACAAAAGTGTAAAAATGAAGTTCGAAATTATGATGAGAAACGTGTTAGCACCATTAAGTAATTTGTTAAAAAAAAAAAACACTTAAATAATCCGTGGGCTTATTTATTCATGATTGACATTTTGAAGACATGTTAGGTCATTCTGTTTCAGAACTCTTAGTATTTCTTTATGTTTTTTTTTATTTGTTTATTTAGAAATATTACATTCTGTCACAATCAAGGTCATTTATAATGGTGTTCAGAGAGCACACTCACACTCTATTTACAATAAGTAAAAATAAAGAATACAGAAACTAATAATAATAAAAATAAATGTATATAAATAAAAGAACTAACCTAATCACACATACTTGGCTTGAGTGAAGGATCTGGCCATTTCCAAAACTCCAATATATGCTTATTCACAGAAGGTCTCTGGACCACTGCCGCTTCAACCTTCGAGGAGGATTGTAAGGATGGGTGGTGCTGGATAGAGATTGTGCAAGGGGATTTGGATGATAGGCAAGGTTCTGGTGAAATTTGGAGAATTTTTCTGGGATAAGCTCTAGGACAAATGGGATATTAAGGGTTTTGTTAGTTACATAGAACGGAGCATCAACTACTGTTCGAAGGACTTTAGATTGAAAGGATTGAATACGTTTGATGTTAGAAAATTTCGCTGTCCCCCACAGTTCAAGTCCGTATATCCATATAGTTTTCAGTATTGTCTTGTAGATAAGTAATTTGTTTTCAATAGAAAGTTTAGATTTTCCTTAGTATTAAACGTGTAATTTTTTTATTTTTATTATTTAAAGGTATAGTGAAATTAAGAGGGTTCATAATGATGCATTTTTCCCCAAAAATTTGGACATTCATAGTCTACTTTACTAGACAACGTTCACCTAAACAGAAAAATATTCCACGTTTAAGTCTATATCATTTTACGTAGACCAGCGTGCGGCCTAAATTTTGATTCTCTTTGTCTAGCAATACGTAACTTCAGCAAATACGTGAAATTTAATTGCCTGTTCTCGCCCTTTTAGAAGCAGCGATAATAATTGTGCTACGGGTGGAAAACTATTGTTTTCGAAAAAAAAGCATTAAATAAGGCATTGAGAAAAGGAAACGATATTTTTAACGACTATGTTAAGGATACATACTATTAGACATTCACTTGATTTAGTATGCAAATAAAAAAAAATATTTTAAGATAATTAATCAATGATTTGAGAGACAGTTAAGCTCCCTAAGGCATTGCTTTTTTGACCAATAATAAAAAAAAAAAAAAACGATTCCTAGCAATAAGGCATTGAAAAGATTATATAGTAAACATAAATTCAGATCATTCGGTAATATTAGAAATATCCTACTGATGTTATCCATCTATCATTTTATTTAATGCATGGTGGACATAAAAATTCAAACCCTTGTCACTTTGACTTCAAAAGGTCTACTTCTATGCCCAGATATTATGAACAATTAATAATTTCGTGTTACTACTTATTATAAACAAACATAAATTTTATTATGATCTGAGAGAAAAACTTGTTGAAAAAGAGACAAACGTTGAGCGTTCAGTGAGTGTTTTGATTTTGCTTGTAATACCGGTTACGAGTATTTATATTTGATACCAGATAATGAAAAATAATCTTGGTCTAAGTGATATTTTTCTATATAAATGCTATATTTGGTTTTTGAAATTTTCACGAAATATAAAAAAAAAAAACATACTAATTTTAGATTTTTAGATAAAAAGTAGTTTACAAATCATTTGATTTTTTTTTTTAAATAATAACTGGTTGAGATGGAAATATATCAGCAAACAGTATATCAATGTTTCCATTTCCAATCCTTATTTTGGGAGCTGAGATATAAATCAGTAATTTAACATTTTACAAATATCTTAATATAATAATAGATACAAATAGGTAATATGATTATGACAGCTAAGTTGTTATGAGAAGACACGTGTTTTTACATAAGAAATGCTGTAACTAGGACGTGACAGATAAATATAAATTTTGTATTTCAACATAGATGAGTGTTTTTTTAATTATATAAATGATTTTGCAAGAACATTGTTGTTGTTAACACAAAAAAAATTATAAATAACTGTAATATGGCAAATTGTCTTTAGACTTGAAAATGGCTCAATGAGCGTCGTCAATCCAAAATACGGATTGGAAATGGAAACATTATTGGTGTACTATTAGCCTAATGAAATATAAACTGAAATATTATACGAAACCGTCATAAAGGAAAATTATACAAGGTCTTTTAGGATTAAGTAGCCAAACTGCAGAAATTAACTAAAGGCCTCAAAACAAAAACAAAAATTCCTCTAATGGTATGTATGCAAACGCTTTGTTTAGGAGATCTTCACACTTAAAGATTTCCGTTGTTATGAATTATTTACGTTATTTGAAATAAATAAAACCTATTTATTTGTTCTAACTACTTTATTAATTAAATGTAAACATTAACATTCATATTAAATGTTGTTCAAAGTGATTTCCTTGAGCATTAAGACAGGCTCGGCATCTTTCTTCAACAGCAGCAGTGGCAGAACGGCACTGGATATGTGTTATTGTTTCACAAGATTCAATTATCCTTCTTCGTAAGGAATTAAGGTCATTGACCGGACTTGCATAGACTTTTTGTTTAATGTCACCTCAAAGAAAAAAATCCAGGGGTGTCAGGTGTGGAGAGCGTGCAAGCCAAGCAATTGGCCCTGCACTGCTAATCCATTGATTGGGACATGATTGAACAAGTCCGGTCAATGACCTTAATTCCTTAGGAAGAAGGATAATTGAATCTTGTGAAACAATAGCACATATCCAGTACCGTTCTGCCACTGCTGCTGTTGAAGAAAGATGAATCCTGAAACACCCTGTATTAAGGAAATATTATAAAGGCTTCTAGACTTTTGTCCCGCTAGATTCGCAAACGGCCACACTGTTCATTGGCCTTGAAACAGTACACCCTTACAAAGCAACGAGCCTCCATTATTTGTAATGGTACAAGATTTTTTTTTGGCAAGCATTAAGCAAGACCACTTGAACTGGATTGATCCTATTATCTAGTTTTGTTTATTTGTTTTCGTATATAATCGGCTTTTCAATAAATTGTATTTTAGCATCGATCGGTTGTTGTAGATAATCGGACGGCATTAACTGCAATATTCTTCCTTTCTTTGTACGAAGACAGGAGGAGCGGGTAGGGTTGGAAGAGGGGCCGGGAGCCTTGACTGAACAAGCAGTGGTGCGTCGGCCGCGGTGGAGTATGCTGCTCCTCATTGGGCTACTTGCGGTTCGGCAAATGTTCGGCGAAGCTGCCATATCCGACACGCAGCTTGAGCGTCAAGTCCTTGCCAGGCTACAGGTATTTCCAACATTACTGATACCTTTGTGAATTTCCCTGATATTCTTTCCTTATTCAGTTTTCCTACCATTGATAGAAATAAAAAAAAGTAGCGATATTTCCATTTTACCATTTCTGACGAAAGAATTTTCAGATGAACAAGAAGAGTAATCAATACTTCAAACGATAAAAAATATTACAGAAATAGAAAAATTATTTGTCGGTTAATTTTTCGTATATGTCAAAAACGTATATCTTTATATATATATATATATATATATATATATATATATATATATATATATATATATATATATATATATATATATATACATATATGTATGTATATATATATATATATATATATATATATATATAAATATATAGTCGGATATCGAAGTGTTTTTGTATGATTTCTCACAGTCACCCGCATTCTAGATCGCCCGTCCAATTTATTCATCTGTCACTTATTCAAATTATGATTATGAAGAAAAGTTTTTACGTTTCAAAACCACCTTTTGAGTTCACAAGTACCGTTATTGTTTTTGACACAAGTCAAGAAAGTGAATCAAAGAGTATCTCGACGAAAAAAATCTTTGATGGGAAATGTCCAATCTCTTCTACTACGAAACTAGCGGATCCAAGATTTCATTTTTTTTTTTTTTTTGGTGGGTATTTAGCCTAGATGCTTTTTTTTACACACACACACATACACACACACACACACACACATATATATATATATATATATATATATATATATATATATATATATATATATATATATATATATATATATATATAACGATAATTACTTTGAAAAAAAGAGAGATACTAACTAGATATATGAAGTGGTGTTTAAGTGATTCTTAAAGTTCTATTACACGTAATTACACGAAAAATAGTACTTTAAGAAATAATGTTGTCAATATTTTTTACCATGACACATGGTTATATTTCATAATTTGGGAGGGAGGGCTTAAGCCCGAAAGTCCCCTAGATCAGCCTGTGATACCTAAGTATCAAACCTCTTCCATATTCGAAATTTTGGAATAATGTTTATTAAAAAAATTCATACTTTAAAATTTTTCATAAATTTTAAAATAATTTAAATGAACTGTTGCGGAAGTTAATAATTATTTGAGAACGAAGCGCATGGGTAACACAAATTTTGATGCTTCTGTAATTTTTCCGGAAGTTCTTCCGTAATTCAGTTTCCTTCCTATTAATATAAATCAATGAAAGTATCAATGAACTTCCATTTTTGATGAGAGAATTTTCGGAGAAAGAAGCAGATTTATCAATACTTCAAATGATATAAATACAACGGAAATAGAAAAATTATTTGTCGTTAAACTTCTTTCAGCTGTCTTCCCCGCGTTCCAGATCGCCACAGTCCGACTTATTTATCTGTCACTTCCTAAAATTATAGACAAGATGGCATCCTCTTTTCAAGTCTTTTGAATCCACAAATGTTATTATTGTTTTTGCTTCTAACTTATTTTACTGTGTAGTGGTATGATTAAAGTCATAAGGGAATGAAAGAGTACTATGGCGAAACAATCTATTACAGGCAATGTCCAATCTATTATACTACGGTACCTAAATACCAAACCACTTATATACTAGAAAACAGTGGTTAAAACTTTCATGGAACTTTTTTATAAAGTCCCATTTCAACAGTTTCTAAAAAAGTATTAAAAATAAAAGTTCTAAGGAACTATTTTGTAATGAAATTCTAAATGATAAAATTTTAACTTTTATTTAGCTAAGTTCTTAAAAAAAAAGTTACGTTAAACGAGAAATAAACAGTAATTGAGTTTAGAATAGAGTTATAATTTATCTTAACTGAATTACTTGATTCTAATGTGTCATTTGCTTGAGTCGCTAAGAATAAAAGTGAAATCTCTGAAGTTCTGTAAAACCTCTACTTGAAAAGTTGCAAGAGAAAAAAAATTCAGTTCCGACAAAAATTGAAAATTGATCGATTTAAATTTTGTCAAAACCGACTAAAAATAAAAGTTAAAATTTCGTTTCATGCACTGTTAGAAACTTCAAAATAATGTTTATTCAACATTTATACGTTTAAAATAATTTAAATGGATCATCCCGGTATTTAATAAATGTTTGAGAGAGAAACGCATGCCTGACAATTTTTTTATGACGACAAGAAATATTGAAGATAAGAATAGTTGGGGTGGTCAGTCAAAAAGGAAGGCAAAAATAAATTATATTTATTTTAATTTTTTATTTTTTTTGAATTTTCAAGAAATGACAAGAAATATTTTCGGATAATTTAAAAGGGTAAATGGGACAGGAGTCGAAATGCTTAAGGAAATATCTTTAAACTTTTACGTGTAAAAACTTTATATATATATATATATATATATATATATATATATATATATAAAGTATAATATATATATCCATATATATATATATGGATTTACCTTATAGAACTATTTCCTCACCTTACCAATACATATTTCAAATCCACTAAGATCCATCTAAATTTTAAAAAATTGTAAATTTATTTGAATGCTTTTGTTGCAACAGTTACTGACACTGTTTGATTCGTAATGTTTCCATAGCTGATAGGAATGAGAGCAAGGGTGTAATTATGCAAAATAAAGTGTTGAAATTGTATATTCTTCATTTAAAAATAGATATTAACAAAAATTATCTTTAACTTATTATAAAGCTAACTTAATTTTGTTTTCTGGCTTAAATAAATACTTCTCACTGTCATGAACCTGTTTTTGGCAATAGGAAAAGGTATTTTTGCTTTACATTTAATCCAAATCATTATCACTTTTTTTTTTTAACGAGAGAGTAATAAACGGTCCCATTTTTAAGATATGTTATATTCAGTATATCTCTTTGAATTTATGAGAGTTCAGGCCTGTCAGCTACTGGAAAAAGACCCCACTATAAGGCTCCAGTAGCTCACACCCTTTTAATTTCCAATTCTTTCATCAAGATAAATTAAAAACGGATAAAACATAATCTAAAAACATTTGGAGAAACAATTTTGGGATAAATCAAACTAGTTAAAAAGAAAAAGACAAACTTAAGGTATGGTGTTACTGATAAATGGTTGTTCCTAGGACACTATGTAGATCGCGAGGGGCCTTCCTAATTTGCCACTCATTATTTCGGTTACGGTTTCCAACAAGACCAAAGCAAAGCAGACAAATATACACGAAGTAAATATAGAAATCAAAAATATATAAAATAGCGATCTAGGAGGTCCTGAAATTTTATCATTCCTATTTTTGGAGGAGGATTCAGGTATTGGTACACTGCCAGTACCGGTGCTTTTACCCTATATTCCTCGCTTTCTTTTGTAATGGGCCTTGGGAAACCAGCTTATACACCCACTAGTTTCGAAGTTTGTAAATTTATGTATCCTTTTGCTTGACCCATTTTCAATAGTAAAATAATAACGTACGACTAACTGGTTGGGCGTGGGAATAATTCCTCGAGAGAGATGGGCAAATGCTACTCTGAGTACAGAGTACGCAGTATTTTACACAAATCGAATCACTATCGGGAATTCAATTGCTACTTCAGTTGATCGTTTGACGTCAACTGAAGTAGTAATTAAATTCTTTGGTACTCAAAAAAGGTCAGTGTTTGAGTAAAATACTTGGTAATCAGCACTAGCGGATCCAGGATTTAATTTTGGGGGAGGCCTCAGCCGGAAAGATTTTTTTTTTTCATGTACATATAACGATAATTAATTTGAAAAAAAAAAGAAAGAAATTAACTACCTATATGAAATGGTGTTTAAGTGGTTCTTGAAGTCCTATTAAATGTAATTAAACGAACAAGAATACTTTAATATTTTTTTCTGTAAAACATGATTATACTTTGCCATTTTTGGGGGGGGGGTTCAGACCAAAAGCCCCTCCCCCGTAGATCCGCCTGTGGTAATCAGGACTCAAAGTAGCATTTGCCCATCTCTGGTAGTCACAAAACAGTAATATAATATGGAAATACGTAAATGTTTGCATGTTGAGATGGTACAGTTGGATTATTTTTATTACTGAAAATAATTTTTTTTTTCAATGGAATTTTTCAAATTATTGCGTTTAACATCAACCATAAATTGGACACTTTTTGAGTTCCATACAAATAATAATTTCAAATTCTTATAACGTGTTTATATTTGTCGACATTAAGTTGTGAAGGTAACATTCAAAATGATGGATTAATAATTGGTTTTGAGGAAGTTGTAAGGTTATAAACAGGGTGTCTCGGTTCTTAATGGCCGAACTCTGTGGGGGTGATTCAAGACAAAATTTTCAACAAAAAAGTTCATTTGATGCATGAACGGAAAAGGAGTTAAGACCAATTTTGTGTCTTCCTTGATGTTTTTTTTATTGAATATGAAGAAATCGCTCAAACAAATTTAAATACACAATCGTAAAATGTATGACCAAAAAAAGGATAAATAAAAAGATAATAAAATAATTTTTAATAAATATAATTTTCTATCGGAATCTTTACTTGTTGGGCGCCTGGCTTTACTAGCCTTTCATCTCTAAAGAGATAATTATAGAGAATATAAGTTACTTACCCATTATTTGGCCATGATTAATCATTTATCCTACCATGCTAGCTCAGGTGAGAAGGGATTAGGTTGGATATTTTTATAAAGCAGCAAAAAAGTTTAAGAGATCTATTTACAGAAATAAATATTTACAGAATTAATACAATGTACAAGCAAAAGAAATAAAATAAAAGGAATAAGAGAGAATTTATACATAATTACTATATAAAATTAAAGATAAATAGGAAAATACTTAAAATAATAAAAATAACAAAAAAAATACTTATTCTATATACAATAGTATGGCATGCCACATATAAACATCAAGAAACCTTAGTCAAGATATAAGATATAAGAGCACATGCACATGCTAAAATAGGAATTAATAATCAGTCACAGGAAACAAATGAGAGAAGAGTTTTTTTTTTTTCAATGCTTCCTTAATCTTGGTTACAAATAGACAAAA